CTCTCTCTCTCTCTCTCTCTCTCTCTCTCTCTCTCTCTCTCTCTCTCTCTCTCTCTCTGTGTGTGTGTGTGTGTGTGTATGTGTTCCTGTATGTGTGTATCTGTCTGTTTGTCTCTATCTGTCCCTCTGTCTCCCTCTTTGCGTACGTGTGTGTGTGTGTGTGTGTGTGTGTGTGTGTTATGTAATGAGAGGCATGTATGAGCTCTGGAGGACATGGGATAGCCATGGGTGTCTTCCCTTGCTTTCTACTTGCTTTGAGACAGGGTCTCAAAAGACCCTATCTGCTGTTACATGTGCAGGCTGACTGGGCTGTGATCTCCCAAGCGTTCTCCTTCCCTTGTCTCCTATCTCACTGTAAGAGGGCTGGATTACAGAAGGCACATCCATCTTTCTGGTGGGTTGTGAGGGTTGGGACTCAGGTCCTCATGCTTGTTCAGCAAGCACTGTGCACACTGGGGTGTCTCACGGGATCCGTTTAGTTAATGTTTAGTTGCTCTTGTGATCTCAAGTCCAGTGACATTTCCTAAAAAAGGGTCTTTCCTAACCATCCCTTCAGGATCAGATCCAGAAAGAAACGCTTTTCTGTTTGTATTTAATATATTTACTTGTATTCATATATTGTATAAATATATTTATTATTGTATAAATGATTATATTTTTATATTGTGTTTATTCCTGGACTTAATTGATAGACCATCTCTTTATACCAGCTAATAGTGCCCTCCACAAGGGGAGTACACTAGGATAGTCACATTCTGTCTGCAGAGCTAAATAGCAGACAAAGCCTAAACTTTGTGGTCTGCAGTGATTAAATAATATAGAAAATAATAATGCAAAGATAATATGATAAAATGTTAGGTAGAAACATATAAGATTTCATATTTATGCTTACAGTGGATAATAAAATACATATTAAATATGTATCTATATATGTTTGTGAGGTCTCAGAACATAAGACACAAATCACTCTTCCAGGAGGATAGTCATGGACTTTTCTGTGAAATTTCATGAAATGTCTGCTTAATATGACAATACTTTACAGTTGAGCCTGAGCCAAGAACACCATGCCCCGCTTTGTTAAGTAGTCGCCTAGTTTGTGCTGATACAGCTGATGGAGATCTGTAATTTCTCTAGACAAAGGTATCACATGAGCTTTGCATTTGGAAAAATTGCCTTTTAAAAGATACTATTGATAAAGGCCACACAGCACCATCCAAACCTAAACCTTTAAATATAAATGAAAGCTTATAAATTGACATACTACTTTACCCAGTTTGTCAATGCAACCAAGCAACAACAACAAAAATACTATTTTTAATGAAATCTATTCTTTGCATGAGAAAACTATGCCATCTGAGAAATCCTCAGGGACACAGAGCTCTAAAATACTACACACAGTCATTTGCACATGACTCCTTCAAGTCTAGTCAAGGTTACCCTTTGCATGGCATTGGACACTTTTTGGAGGGGGGAAAAATAAAGTTCTAGGGTAGAAAACACCCAGGGGCATATTTATATGGTGTTGGAAAAAGAGCACTCAATCAGGAAATAAACAGTGGCACTTGCCAGAATATTTTACTTTTCCTTTCGGGCTAGAAATTATTATAAACTAATAAAATAACCATCTTTCCAAAAATGAAGTTGAATGTAGGCGTAACAATGATGCTACTAACTATTGTACTGCATAGTGGTGATATTTAGAAAAATGGAATCCGGTAGGGCTTGTTCCCAGGCAGCCACCGTGTTCCCGCTGCTCCTCAGCTCTGACCAGAACTCTGGCTAGATGTGCAGGCCCTGGCACCCACAAGATGCCAGCATCCACAAAGCTCGGCTGAACCCCAGACAATATCTGCCATCCTCACAGTACCTGGTAGAAATGAGACTTAAAGCTTAATGATTATCTAAATGATTTATATATTTAGAAATGCTCAATCAACAAGATGCCCACACAATTAGGGTTGTTACCCAATAGCTAACCTTTTGATGGAAGTTGCTACCCAGGACAGCTTTCGACCCATCAGTAGTTCTTCATGGCTGATAGACCTCTTCTTCTCCTTCCCTTTCTCTCTCCCCACCCCTTCCTCTTTTTCTCACCTCCCTTCCTCTCTTCTTCTCCCAGCCCCACTTCCTCTTCTACTACCTAATCACTGAGTCCACTGTGAATACAATGAAGCAGAATAAATATCCTGCTACAGTAGTGCATGTAAGTTATATCATGTTACAGTTGGGACATCCAATGAGTGTTAGCTGCTTCTCTCTACTGTTAACAGTTGGAGATTCTGAAAACCATCTGGACAGCCACTTGTTTTGTAATTTCAATGTAAATACTTTCATATTTCCTAGCAGTTTTACGTTTATCAAACCAAAAAAAAAAAAAAAAAAAAAAAAACCCAAAGACCTCTAACCTTCAGCTCTGTGGAAGCAGACGCAGACTTTGTGGCTTTGGTTAGGGCACGTAACTGCTGGTAGTCCACTAGCTTGTACCTGGACCTCCTCATCCCATCTTTCATATGGACTGCCAGGATATCTGTTTTTCATAAAGACAAAAAAAATGACAGGGAAATAGTGTCACATCATTCAAAATCAAAAGGAGAAAATGAGGTTATAGCACATTTTTTTATTTTTAAAAGCAAATAAAAGATGGTCACAACATTAGTGCTATACTTCATACCCTGTGTCTCGACCCTCTTAGACCATGGCTGCTGTGTCCTTGTCATCGCTTCCAAAGGGCAAGAGAAAGAACAATTCTGCATGAGCTAGAACATTGTCAATGCCAGAAATCACAATGCTATTCAATTTACTTGCATTTCAGACATTTTAAAAACTGTTAGGTATCAACCGGAAATATTTAAGCATAACCTAAATTCATCTATTAATCAAACTACATGAGGAGATACTGTAGCCATCAATAAATTTCTAACTCAAAAGCTAAATTTGAAAAAAGTTTTTTAAATTAACACTGAACATGTAACCACTCAAATAAGATTCTAACCGTGTAAAATATGTGTGTACTCTCCAGCCCTAGACATCTAATCTCCTAATTTAATAGATTAACCTTATTGATTAATCACAGGAAGAAGTCCACTGAAGCCACGGCTTAAATCACAATAACCTGAACAGTTCTAACAAAGACGAACATTTGCATCAATGTGAAATGCTAATATCTGCTATAAGAGAATCCAAATGTCATCAGAAAAAAAAACACATCAGAAGCAGGCAGCATTGTCCTGTCCACAGCTTGTGGCTAAAACAGATCCTGGGCAAGAGAACTGGCCAGTCATTCTGTGTAAGCAAAGCCAGTGTTCCTTATTAAGATTGTAGAAATCAGCATTGTAAGTTTGCATCATTTCAAAACTGCATAACATGCTATAAATCAAAAAGGACAGATGGAAGTAGGGAAAAAAAATACCTGAGCTGTCATTTCTCTGAATCATCATGAACGGCCAATCTCTTCTATTCATGCTTTCCGTATCTGTCAAGGAGCAAGGAGCAGTTTAAATTTTACAGACCTTAAATTTTTAATGTTTTTAAAGCTGCATTCACTTATTATTTTCAAAAGTGATAACCAGGAGTGGATATTATAACTCTATATTCCAGGGCATTTTTTTTCTATGCCACCGTGTGTGTGTGTGTGTGTGTGTGTGTGTGTGTGTACCCTAGTAAAGGTGCACATGTAGGGTTCGTGTGTATGTATGTGCACGGGCCATCCTGAGAGGTTAACCTCTGGTATTCTCTCTCAAGAGCCAACCTCCATGGGTTTTTTTTTTTTTTTTGAAACAGAGTCTCTCATGGGATCCGGAGCCCACTGTCACTGATCAGATTGTCTTTGCTCACTGTCTCAGAGGCCACTGATCAAATCATGTGATGAGGTCAAGCACACAGCATCATAGCAAGCCTTTATCCAGAGCTCAAGATCTAACTGGATCCTGGTACTTGTGCACTTTACTGACTAATCCCTCTCCCTGGTTCCTCTTCTCTGCCAGTCTTGTTCTCCGCCACTCCTCCTCTCTCTTTCCTGATTCTCCTTTATGTAATTGCCCCAACTGACAGTTGCTTGGTGAGTAGAAAGGGGCATAGGTCTTAAATTTCAGGGAGAAAAGAGACATATCAGTTGAAGTATTAATTCCCCACTCTTTACTCTGATACAGAGTTCCGTGAGTAACAGCTGACCGTGTGGGTGTACAGCCCTTTCCAGGAGTGACTTCCAGCTATGTGACTTTCCACTTCAGGAACTGAGTCTGTGAGCAGCCTCTGCTGTAATCTTCCTCACTGTGGGACTCAGCTGCAGAGTGCAGCCTTACCTAAAGGCACACTCTTCTGGGAACAGACAGCCCATGCCCACTGACTAAGCAACATAGGTTATAAAGCAAGCTTGTCCCAAGTCAAGATGTGCTCATGTGAAAACTATACTTTTCAGCTTTCTGCCATGTTGGTTTTTTACTTGTTCCATCCTAGCTGCTCATCCTTCCTGTCATAGGTGTGGATCCCTGATAAACACCACACACACACACACACACACATACACACACACACACACATACACACACATACACACACATACACACACATACACACACACACACATACACACACATACACACACACACACATACACACACACACATACACACACATACACACACACACACATACACACACACACACACATACACACACACACACACACACACACACACACACACACCTGGATCTGCCTCAGAACCTGCTCCCTGAGAACCCATCTGCAGCAGCACTGAAGTGAGCAGATGTCTCTCTTAGAAAACTCACCTCCACTGCAGACAGGTTAATTAAATGGGGTTGAGTTATAGCATCCTCATTTCATAAATTTTTGTTTCACATACAGTGGAGGAAACAACTCTCATCTACTGGTATTTACAGTAACCTAAATCTTAAAGGGAGGAGTAAATACCAAGGGTCCCATGACTTTTTGAAAACCCTTCAAAGATATCATGTGTAGATTGCCAACAGCTTTGGGAATAAGGTTATAAATGCCAGTGTGTAATTAGCTTGTGGGTCTTCAGAGACAAACATTCTGTTTTAAGGCTTTAATGACAATGGCACCCCTGCCTACAGCTGCTCTCTTACAATAAGTTTCTTCCAAAACTCACATCCTATCTGCCCATTTCCACTGTCATTCTAAGAGTCAAGCTTGAATGACATAGCCACACTTTTCCATCTGAATCAGAGGGGAGCTCTAGCTTCTCACATTATGTTCCTGTCTCTCCTGTGATACTGCCTATCTGTCCTCACATTTGCATAATTACCAGTTTGATGTTCATCTCCTTTGCTAGATATGTACTACATTATATTTCCACTCATAGTTTGTAATGGTTACTCTTCATTGGCTACTTGGTGGGATTTAGAATAACCTAGGAGAGACACCTCTGGACATATCTGTGAGAAAGTTGCCAAAGGAGTTATTGATGAGGGAAGATGTGGGTGGTACCATTGCATGGGCCAGAGTCCCACAGTGGAGAAAAAGGAAAAGACAAAGTGTGGGCTCTAGCAGTCATCTCTGTCTGCAGACACAAGGTGACCTGACACTGGTCTCATGTTCCCACTACCATGCCTCCCTTCCATGATGGACTATACCCCTCAAACTGGGAGCCAAAGCCAAACTCTTTAGTGGCTTTTGTGAAACATTTTTATCATGGCAACAAGAAAAGCCATGCATTCATAGCATCCTTGTTAATTTTATGTCAATTTGACACAAGCTGGAGTCATTTGGGAAGAGGAACCTTAGTTGAGAGATTGTGATTAGTTGTTGGTATGGGAGGGCCCAGCTCATTGTGGCTGGTGTCCACCCCTGGGCAGATAGCCCTGGGTGGTATAAGAAAGCAAGATGGGCAAGCCATGGAGATTAAGCCAGTAAACAGTGTTCCTCGATGACATCACTTCTTGCCTCCAGGTTCCTGCAGTGAGTTCTTGCCCCAGCTACCCCCAATGATACACCACAATCCCACAAGCTAGGTCAACCACTTCCTCCCTGAGTTGCTTTTGGTCATGCTGTTGATCACAGCAATAGAAACGTAGCCAGGAGCTATGTCTCCAGCACTTACACTAAATAGACTAAGTGGTCAACAAATTCTATTTGAGGACATGAATAAAATTTTTCTGGACGTCTTCTACTGCTTGGAAGAATGTTGACATCAATTTCTAAGTACACAGAAGCTCCTCTTTCCCAACCATTACTTTTGACTTCTTTTAATGAGCCTGGATAGCATAGCTTACAGACAGAAGTGGCAAACACAGATGCCTTTACCATTGGGTAAGTTAAATGAAAGAAGTGACAAGGGGCAAGACCAGAGGAGATGGAGGAAAATGGAAGAGACAGAGAAATACTGCTTTCTATTTTATACTGTAGGTACCAGACACATAAGGATGTCCCCTCAACAAACATACAAGAGGTTCTTAGCTCGGGCTTCCCGTACCTTGTCTATTGCTTTCACTGTTCCCACCCTAACTTCTCTGTGTTACATCTTTCTCTAGCTGGGAGACCTCACTGGGCCTCTGGTTCATAAGATTAGTTTTTTTCCTCAATGGACAGCTTCACATCTTTACATTTGGAATCATTTTTCTTGGCACTGAGATTCAAAGCTTCAGAAACTTAGCAAAATGCGTCTTCCCATTCCCCTTTCCACTACCTTGGTTTATGAGGGACATATTTTGTATAATCTCATCTCGGGCTCGCTGAGAAGAGCCATACAAACCATACAACACTCTTTACCATGTGTGTGTGGTTCAAATTTTATTCATTTTTACATTTATATATTTAATTACTTACGTGTGTGTGCACACATGCATTAGTGAACATGTGTGTGCCATGGTGCACATGTAGAGACCAGAGGATAATCTAAAGGCTTGTTTCTCTCCTTCCATCACTTAAGTTCCATGGAGTCACCAGACTTGGCAGCACTTAACCTGTTGAGCCATCTAACTAGCCCCAAGTATAAAAATCTCACCCTAAGATGGCCTCCAGAAATCAGTGTTGTCACCAAAAGCCAATTTGTCTTCATGAACTTGAAATCTAGCTTAGTTGACCCAGCTATATAGAAAACTCAGACTTACTTAAACTTACTTAAATTATTGACATAATTTCTATTTCCCCTTCAATACCATAGTACACTTCTAAGGAATCGTTAAATTTGAGCATCATAAAAAATGAATCCATTTGTAGTATTTCTCATGTCAAAGAACTAAATAGACAGTCAGATTCAGAACTTGGAAAATTTATAAACAATTGTCTTGGTCCAGTTTCTCCTTCTAGCCTTTGGGATGCCTAAGACACAGGAGGACCAAAAAGATCTGGCAACCAATGTCTAGCAGAGCTACTTCACCTAATAAAACATTCTGGAAATAAGGCTTAACTCATTATCAGTGTGGCAAACAAACCCAAGCTGAGATAAGATTGTTTGGTGGCAAGCCACCAAAATGATTTTGCCCTGTACACTGTGAACATCTACACAGTGTGCAAAGCTTGCAGCATATTTCATTGTAAAGGACTCCCCTAGCTCCATCAGGGTTTAACACAGTTCTTAAAATCTCAGAAGAACAGAACACATAGTTGCCAAGCATTTCGGATAAAGTATTGTTGAACTATGCTAAAAGCAACTCTTCCAGACTTATGAACAAATGTATGCCACCCAAGTCATTTACTATTCTGCTCACCAGTGAGAGGTCCAATCATTTCAATGTTTTAGGGTGAATATCTGCCTCTTGAACAGGGTCTCCCATGCTAAATCGTTAGAAGGACTTGGTTTTAGAAAGTATTCTGTGCATACATTATGTGACAGTTTAGAACGTGCTTGAATGCTGTCAAAATGTTAAGCCTTCTTTTTTTTTTATTTTATTTTTTTTTCATTTCTTTTTTTTTTTTTGAACATGAAATGCTTTTTTTTATAGCATGTTTTACAAGGGGAGGGGGTAAGAGGGTCCAGGTGGTGGAAAAGTACAAAATCTTCTTGGCCTGTGCCTTGAAACATGTCATGGTCTATACGGTACACTGCCTTGAATTATGATCTACCTGCAGTTCTTCAGAAGATATGGTACACTGCTTGAGTTATGGTCTCCCTGCTATTCTTAAGAAGACATGGTACTCTGCTTTGAGTCTATCTGCAGTTGCTAAGCAGGATCTTGCAGTTGCCAAGCTTCAGAGGACATTGTGCAGGTGGGGAAAGGTAGGGGGTAAGGGTAAGGGTGAGGGTCCTGGCTTCTGGCATCTCCCCCTTCTCTGTTTAGTTAGAGAAGGCGTCTTATGTTCAATCCCAACTATGTGAGTTTTGAATTTGGATGTCTAATTATGGGGGGTCTTAGACAAGTTCACAACCCCAAAACACTGATGTGAGACGAGTCACATCGATGGTCAAAGGCTTTAGGCTGTCGACGATGGGCAACGTCAAGGGACTCTGATGTGGGTGAAAGGAGGGTGAGAGCCCTGTCTTAGGCCATGTA